CCCATGCGCCTGCCCTACGTTTTTGCGCCATTTCTGGACCTCTCACACTCCGTCTATTGTATCTGTCCTCCTTCTCCCTTTCTTTTCAAATTCCTCCAGCACTCCATAGCCGTCGCTCTCTGACCCCACCTCCCGACGGCTGCGTCTAAATGGTGCGATTGTGCGTGTGTGCATGTGAACGTCTGTGGAAAGTCTGACGTGAGCGCGGAGAGAGTGTGGCTCAACAGCGCTGCTCAATCCAGGAAACTCCCTTAGAACAACAAGGCATGGCTGACATCCAGAGAGCTCCTCTGGAGCCAAAGTTAGTCTCAGACTTCCCCCTTTACACACACACTCTCGCTCAAGAAACTCTCACACATGCGTTCGGGTCGCCCGCACTCATTTCATTGTCTCGAGAGGTTCTACTGTCTGTGTGGACACTCGATGGCATTTCGGTTCCCCTCAAGGCTGATAGACTCAGTCCGTCTTCCAACAAGAGGACCATTGTACACTCCTCTGAGTTCCAAACATTGCATCTGCGAATAGAGTCTTCAATCTGTTTTTGAGTTGATTTACTGTGGTGTGATATTTCGGCTATTAAAGATGGGTTGGCGTTCAAATCTGCGGTTTGACAATGCAATAGTTGTCGAGAACCTAATTTTTGTGGTTGCGTCAGACACTATAGCCCTTATTGCCATATTGTCTAATACCCCCGGTCCTCTGCGGCGTCTTAACGCAGCTGTTCGACTCTATTTGATACTAGTTTACAAGTAGCATTAGTGAGTGTGCTGTAAACCTCTGTGGTATGTCTTCTCTGATTGCTCTTCTGTTTTGGCAACCCTGTTGCTATTCTACAACTATTAGTACATAATATTACACTGTCAACATCTGAAGTTTTGCTGTTGCAGATTGTTGCCAGCGGTGTAGTTTAACTTGTTGACTAAACATTAAAGAGCACATGGAATCAAAGGCTACAGAATAGCATATTACTTGTGCTATTTTTGTAATTGCAGTTTTTTGCAGGCATACAACATTCAGAAGATTTGCAAAAATATGGAGTATGTAATCAAAGCACACACTGCATGGGATTATGTGCCCTGAAATGCACTCTACTTGATACACTATCAGAGTTTTTTGAAATAAATTAATACTATTCAGCAAGAATGGAATAAATTAATCAAAACAAGTGATAGGAAAGATATATAATGTTATAAAATATTTCTATTTCAAATAAGCTCTTGAACTGTCCGTTCATCAAATAATCCTGAAAAAAAAAGTATTTCGGTTTCCACAAAAATATTAAGCAGCACAACTGTTGTCAAAACTGATATTAATAAAAGATTTCTTATTATTATCAGTTTTGACAACAGTTGTGCTGCTTAGAATGATTTCTGAAGGATCAATGACTTCCTGGAAATTAATCTTTTCAGGAATAAATTACATTTTATAGGCCTGGTTTCACAGAAAGGGCTTAGATTAAGTCAGGATTGCGCCTTAGTTAAATTAGAACATTTAAGTAGCTTTTATAAACTTGCCTTAGAAAAAACTTTTGGTAACGCTTCCTTTTACAGTACAGTACTTACGTGTACTTACCTAGAAAGTACTGGCTAATATAAGGCAAGTACATGGGTTAGGGGTAGGTTCAGGGTTAGTACCTAGTTATTACCCAGTAATTATAATTACATAGTAAGTACATGGGTAACAGGACTGTAAAAGGAAGCGTTACCAAACTTTTACTGGTATGCATCTTGAGACAAAACAATGGCATGGACATATTTTAAGATAGTGCAAGTTGCTGTCAGACAGCTCAAACTTGAATTTTAGTCTGGGAATAGGCTTAAACCTTGTCTGTGAAACTGGACAATAATATAGCCCTATTAACATAGAAAACAGTTACTTTAAATTGCAATAATATTTCAATCGCAATATAATGGTTTTCACTGTATTTTTCATCAAATAATTGCAGCCTTGGTGAGCGTTAGAGACTTCTCTCCAATTTTTGCACAGTAGTGTATCCAATTTTCGTTATGATGTCATAATGCTGCATTTTTAAAACCTCTTTTTACTCATTATTCAGTTTGACTTAAATTAATGTTTTTGTCAAATCGGCTTAATAAATTATATTTATATTTTCTTAAAATTTCTCAATGTAACAAACGTCCAGCATCAACATTTGAGACAACGATGCAGCATGCTACTATTATAGTTGCATAATCTACTGTTCTGGTTCATATTTTATTTAGAATTTTTCACATATAGTAGGCTTTAAAGTATGCAGCCAGTGTATTATTCCTTTGCACACACAACGTAAGCCCAAAAAAAAACCACCCAGATCATTTAGATATTATGAAGTCACGTCATATTAACATGTGATCACCCATAAATCAACAATCATTCGGAATTCCAAATTGGCCTTCCCTAAGGGACAACAGTGCTCATTATATTGGTAAACAACGGTTAGTCAATCATAACAGAGATCATTTATATATTCAAATATTTCATTGTTTGATTTCATGGGCATTTGTTTACTTTTTGTGTAAATGTCCAATCAGCATCCTGTAGCAAAACCACTGTCTTACAAGATTACACCCCATTTGATTGTTCATCAAGCTTTTATTTCACTGGTTTATTTACTCTGATATATAAATGAACACTTTTACATGACATGTAATGTTAAATATTGCACTACTGAGAAAAGCACCACAACCCTACGCTCTAGATGGAGCTGTGAGGTTTCAGTTAAGTGTTCGAGATAAAAGAGGTGTGTGTGTGTGAGAGCACATCCATATGGTGAATGAGTGTCTAACAGTGTTCAAAGAAAACCAATGTGTGTGGGAGATAGAGAAGAGTAAAGGCAAGGTTTGTACTCTATATGTGTGTGCGTTTAAGTGGAAAAAGGAGTTTGAGGGTGGTTGCTTTGCATTCTCTCTCAGTTAAATGAGAGAAAAGAAGAGATATTTGGGGCCGTTGTGAGCAGACAGAGATGTGTGTGAGTGTGTGAGGGAGTCAACAGCAGCTCTGTATGGACTGTGCATGTGGAGCAGGGGTCTTCTACTTCAGACGAGCACTTTACTCGGTCCCTGAGGCACCCCTTCTTTCTTCTCCCTCTTTTCAGCATGTCACAATGAGAGAGCCTCATTTACGGCTAAACAACACACTTTAGAGCCACCACTTCAAATGACCCACATTCTCCCAGACACACAACACCACCGCCATACACCTCACCAGCAACTCGATACCATCGGCTCCATCTAACGGCCTACATTTCCCATTATCCTCTGAGACAAAAAGACAGAGATACCAAACTGACTGGCCAAATACTAGCACTGGGAACATTTGTTTATAGTGCCGCATTAATGTTAAAAAGAAACGCATTGAAGTATTTCCTCCTCTAAAGTCCATTTATAACGTTAGTCAAGGTTTCTTGCAACAAAATATTCATAATTTAGACTTAAATTACCATTTTCCACAGATTTTTCCTCCATGTTCCAATTCAACAGGCTTTTTTTTTGCTACTGCACCTTTAAGAGTTTAATATTACCATTCAGTTTTGCTACAGGGGAGCATATTCTAAAAAATGTTTATTAAAATGTCTGTTGTAAATGTGCATCTTTAGCTTTACATTGTCATATTATGAAAGCTTGTGGGAAAACTCTTTTCTTTTTTGTGAAAAAAAAAATGTAGTAGCATGTTGAACCAAAAGTGATTCAAAGTGATTTAATAACAACTACTGATGAGTTTTTTTAGGGTTAGGTCAAAAAAAGAAAGAAAAAAATGTAGTAGCACGTTGAACCAAAAGGGATTTAATAGCAACTACTGATGAGTTCAGAGAGTTTGATTCAATCATCAGATTGATTCAAAGCTGTAGCTCTTATGTTTGAGGTTTTTTTTTAGGGTTTATTAGATGAATTAAACATGAGTCATTTCCAAATAATAGATGAATTATTGTTAAGTTTATTTGAGTGTCTTTGATGTCGACCTTTTGATCCATATTTTATTGGATAAGTTGACATGACATAAGTTTATTTTGCTCTCCTAAATATGCATGATAAGAGTTGCATTTTATGATATCCATTTAACATTGTTTTTCATTGCTGTCTGTGATCTTATCAGAACTTGCTAACGACTCACCGGTTGAGAAAGTTTTTTTAGACGTTTCCTGGGATTTCTTTGGATCCCAGAGCACATTTAGTGTTCTGTGTATGTGTGTTTTGTCAGGGTAGGTTGTTTTGTTCTGGTCCAGGAAAAGATTCTCTCCTGCTCTGTTAATTTGCTTTGCTCTGCAGATGTTCACATCAGATGGTTTGAATTAAATGCTAGATTGCTCACACAAGGTCAGCTGTGAGAACTCAGTCAGAATACCTCTCTGTTTGCCTCTGGAGCTGAGAAAGAATTCTAGATGTGTGAGAGAGAGCATGACCAGTCGTGTGAAAATACAAAACTGGTATTTCTCCAGAAGAAACCTCTTATCTGCAGCCCTTGCAGGCTTTTTTGTCTTGTGTGCCCCAACAGCCTCATCGGGAAGGCTTAAATACCAATTCATCAAAAGCAACGGCAACAACAATTGATTTATAAATGAAAATAAATTTGCAGTCGTAAAAACTTCAGACAGCAACAGATGTCTTTACTCATCTTCTCATTAACATTATATAACAAATAAATGACTTGTGAAATATCTCATCTGGATTTCATTTAATTTTACTTTATTTACTTGTTATTATAATTTATTTGTCTATAGTTAATTTATTTATTTTTAATTATGTATATTTTTTTTGTTTGTTTAATTGAAAGCGTCAGTGTGTTTCCAAAAATCATTCAATATGAAAAAGATATTAATCGCAATTAATTTAATCCATTGACTGCACTAATACTTTCAGTTAATTAATCATTTCATAATTGATGTTTTATAGATTTAAGGAAGTTAGACCAAAATCTTTCCAAGTACCCACCGAGGTACATCAATTGCAAGTCATCATGAATGCATATTGAAAAATCGAATTTCCTTTTTTTTTCTCCTCTAGGTCCCTATTCTCTTTGCTTTGACTTTTTTGGGTCATGGGGCAGCAGAGCTCGGGTTTGCAGGAGACCTCCAGAACCGCACAGCCAGACAGATGAGCTGCATGGAGAACCAGGAGTACCCGCACAACAGCTTCTGCTGCAAGAACTGTGAAGCTGGTAAGTAGCAGACAAGATCCTGTCGAACCGTGAGAACTTCCCTTGTAAAGGCAAGTATTGTAAACACAAATGAGTCAACTCGCTCAAAGCAACATTTTTTAAGTAATTTACAGTATAGGCTTTTTGCAAGATGTTTAAAATGTCTTTCCAGGCTTTGTCGATGAGGTGCTGACAAACATCCGTCAGTGATGCTATTAAGAGTGTTATTCTCTGAAGAAGATTTGAAGAGAAACAGCATTGTTATTTTAGAGCTTAAAACTCAGAATTCTCATTTGTGAGACTCTGGTTTCTCACAGAGATGTCTCGCAAGAGGTATTGTAAGGTTAGTGCTAAAATGAGGTGTTTGTAGGCCTGGAGTTAGTGTTTAAATGTCCAGAATGACAGGTCATGAAGGAGCACACTTAAACAAGAGAAGCTTAATCACCAAACCTGCTGATAAGGGAATTAAACACAAAATATAGTATTGGGAATAACAGTCAGAACATGTGGTTCATTTTTGTAATGATTTATTAATTTTCATTTTTGTGTAGTATGATAATCACAGAATGGGTTCTCCTTTGCCATGGTTAAAGTCATGTAAAACAATAAATACAAATTGTTTAATGCATAAAATAAAACAAACTATGTTCATGAACAAATACAATTATCATATAAAAAAAAAATAGATTCTCAAATATTTCTACCAAAATACTAGTAAAAAAAAAAGTTACTTATTGTCAGGTCAATTTTTCATATGGGAAATGTGGATCAATGTTTTAATACTAGATGTTTGGTTTCAGCATATACCAAGAATTTTTTTGAATGAATGAATGAGACATGTCATTTTAAGTTATGCATTATATTAAATTACATTTTACTGTGACAAAAAGGTGGCATGTATTTTACACAGGGCTCAAAATTGCACAAAACATCTTTGCCTAAATGTTGTATTCTGGCTTTAATAATAAAACCATTTTAAATGGATTCGAATTTTGAATACACACTGGTTTCCATTTTTCTGAAAATGATATATGTTGATATTTAATGTCTGTCTCAAAATGTTTTCTGTAACACAGGCACTTATGTGAAAGAGAAGTGTAGCAGGGACCAGGAGAAGGGCATTTGCTCCGCGTGTGAGAAGGGCACGTATGCCGAGCACCCCACAGGCATGGAGCAGTGTCTGCAGTGTAGCCAGTGCCACAGAGGTAACGTTCTCCAATCTACACTTTCCTCTTCAAACCAGCCATTTTGTAAAAGACCAGGTCAGATCTTCCTCTTAGGGTTGTTTAAAGAAGTGTTTGAGTCCGGTCTGTGACTGGCACTTTGAGATACAGAAATCTCAACCTTCTGCTATTGTAATTGATTGTTCAGTTTTCCAGTAGACAGCCATATGTAGTCTGCACTGACTCTCAAGAGAAGCAGAGCTCTCAGGAATGTAACATTTATACATCTCGAGTGAATAATGGAACACACATGGTCCTCGGCATGCTGGGAAGGCAATAACACAACCCATCGCCGGTGACTACTGGACAAACAATTAACTTCTGGAACTGCTGTCGGAATACAGATATTACAAAAAACGAAACGAAATGATATAACGAAACCGGCATCAGAATTCTTTGCTTTTGGAAATTTCGACTCGCCTTTATACAAGATGGAAAAATGTGCGGCATACTGTGACCTGCAAGCGAGACGGAACATCTAAAGCATGTTGAATCCATCGCAGAACGCTCCGCTGTGACTGTCCATTCTTCTGCAAAGCTATTTAGTCTGTCTCTGGTTCCTCTGAAGTCAGAGCCATCCATTAAATTGCTGTTTATTTTGATTGGACAGCCACGTTCACCGTTTATTAAACCATTTGATTTACCTAAACACTCTTTCCCACAAGATCCTACTGCTTGTTCAGATTCAAACTCTGTTGTAAACACTACATATTCATATAAACAAAATCTCGCTCGCCTGTTTAGACAATAAGCCTCCCATAGGATTTGCATGAGGACGGGGACATAAGCAGGCCCCATGAATAGAGTTGAGTGTAGTGTTTCCTGTGCTGGACACCTCACTCCTGGGAATCTGATCTCCTAATGTTACACGTCCTGGGTGTGGCCCCACGCCTGTGTTCTTTCGCTAGCCATTTGTGTGTGTATGAATGACTGAACTATACTCTAGTGCATGCACCCCTTTGTGTCTGTTGTCCGGGATTGTGTGCATGCGTGTGTTTTAGGATGATGCAGGGTGTGCCTGTATCATGTGCCGTCTTGTTCGGAATCTATTTTGCTCAATTAATCACTCCCAGGTTATCCCGTCTGCCTGCTGAGTCACAAGGGTGTGTTGATTAAGACTGTCCATGCATATATTAATTGTAAAGTGAATTGAATCTGAAACTGGATCTGTATTGATCCAACATTGATCCCATGATATATTTCACCCTTCACAGAGACATTTTTTGTTGTTTCCTGAGGCTCAGATTAGTTCTAACAATTTTTTTATCTAAATCTGGATTGAATCTGGATCGAAATCTGTATTTATGCAAAATTTTAATTATCTTTTAGAGGTGCATTTCAACTGTCTTCTGAAGCAGAGATTAGTTTTAGCATGTATACATTTGATCTAAATTTGGATCGAATATGGATCAGGATCTGGATTTATTCGACATGTAATTAGATAATTGATTTAACTTTTCGAAGGTGCATTTCAGCTGTTTTCTGAGACGGGTGCTAGTTCAGTACAATTATACGTAAGAATCTAGCTCCAGATAATTCTCTTCATATGTGGATTGAATCTGGATTGATCCAATCATTCAGTTCCCCCTTCAGATGTGTGACTTTTCTATTTTAGATATAAGATGTAACAGATAGACACTGAATCATTCTCTCTGAATCTGGATTGATCCAACATTAATTCAGGTCACCATTCAGAGGCATATTCCATGCATTTGAACTTTGCCAAAGCAAAAATGACTTGTATAATTTATGATTCACTTTTGATCTAAAATCCAGATTTAATCCAGATATAACATTGATCCAATTCTGGTCACCCTTCAGAAATTTTAAGTCTATTGCTTCTCTCCCACTCGTTTCTGATTTCTTCATCCTTCCCTCCCTTACCTCTTTGTTTCTCTCCAACCCTTTACAGATCAGATCATGGTTGCAGATTGCACCAGCACAAGCAACACCAAGTGTGAATGCAAACCTGGTTTCTTCTGCCTGCCAGACGAGCCGTGTGAAGTGTGCAAGAAATGCACCAGGTGAGTTCCTCTCTTCCTTTGGAATGTGCTCTTCCCATTTGTCCTCTGTTCTGGTGCACAACACCCTGATGAAAGCAGACAGATCAGACACTCCCAGCCTCTATTCTCTTAACCTTTCAACCCTTGCTTTAGATCACCACATCCAATGAGTCAGATCCCTTTCCCACTGATTCACTCTCTCTCCACCTTTAACCCCTGAGGCTTTCACTGTGCTATTCATAATGATAGTCATTTTACGACCACTATTTTTAAGCCTTTGGCTTCACACCTTTTCTAAAAGGCATAATTTTTGACCGTGGTTTTGCAGGTGCAAAGCTGATGAGGAAGAAGTGAGCCGTTGCACTGCGACATCCAATACAAAATGCAGGAAGCGCACCTCTTATCCGACTGAAGGTCCAACAGACAAGCCATCGGCATCAAACAATACTAATCCTATAGGTAAGGTCCGCACATGCGTACAGACATGGTCCAAAATTAACTTGAGAAAAAAAGTTAATTGTGATTCAGCCTTGATATTAGTTACACTGCATCAGTCATTAACAGAAGGAAAAATTTAATTTAATCTTTTATTTTTTAGCGGTTGTCATACCAATTGTGGTTCTTCTGATCATATTGATCCTGCTTGGAATATTTTTATGGAAGAAACGTCAACGTCATCAAAGTGGTATGTTCGGAAACCTTTTTTAGTCCTTGTATTGAATAACCAGTGTTGGGTGTAATGCATTTCTTATTGATTAATAATAGTGTTACTAGTGTTATTACTGTAATTTAATTACTTCTCCATTGAAAAAGGTAAAGAAAGGGATTACCCTTAATATTTCTGTAATTACAGTTACTTTTGATGCAATTGCATTAAATACTGTATTGACTATAAAACAATTCTATATAAAACAATAATTGACTTAAGTTCAAGAATAATGTATGCAGTTTTCCTTTATTTATTTGAAAGAATTAAAAGAGCAGGTTCATGTTTATCATTGTATTGTTTAACTGGTCGAGGTTGATATGGGATTTAGAAGGTAATTAGCAATAAGGTATGCAATACTTTTTAGAGAGAGTTTTTATTGACTTTTTTTGGAGTAACCTACCCAACGCTGAGAATAACATAGCAGTGAGTTTTTATATCTGTTTGAGAAGTTTCAATATTGTTGTCAATATCGGCCCCAGAAAAAGGGCCAGACAACATTACAATGACATTACTTATGACATAAGTGCCTAAATAAAGTACAAAGAAGGAAGATAAATCATGTAAAAGAAGGGGATAGAAATCAGCACAAAAATCATACTATAACAGATGTTTTAAATCTTTAAGTCCTGCTTTCATGTAAATGTTGGACCCTAAATCTTGGGGAAATTAATATGACTTTGCTAGATGTATTTTTTCAAGGTTTAAGACCTTATATCCCTTAATATAATTCTCTCGGTCACAACCATGCCCAGCATTAATGCCAGCTGCAAATAAGGCAAAGAGGGAACTGTCCGAATAGCCAAAGATGGCAAATTCCATTTTAGGAGGGAGAATCTGATCATATGCCACCGAATACCAAGAAAAAATATCTTCTGAATAAGAAGTTTCAAGCTATTTAAATAGTACATTGTACAACATTCATAGTATTACGAATAGATCTGCAAAGTGGAAAATCAAATGTACTTTTTATGGACACATTTGCTGTCAACTTTATTTCAGACACTGCTGGTGATTTGAAAGAAGTGAAGATTCCCATTGTAAGTATCTTTTTTTAATTATTTTTTTATGCATTATTTAAAATTAGATGAATTGGTTTTGGTTAATATTATTCTGATGCTTTAAATAAACTTTAAATGTATTTTTTGTTTAAATTATATTTATTTTATAAATTGGTAAAAATGTATTATTTTTTTAATTGGTTACTTTTAATCCATAGTTTTAATCAGTTGTTGTTGCCTTCACTCAGGACGAGTGCCCAAGATCAGAAGAGGAACAAGAGAACAGCCGCAATGCCGGATTAGAGAGGGAGGAGGAGCATCGCCCAGAGTCCCGCCCCTTGTTGACGCAAGAAACACAGGAAACGGGTAGCAAGAGCATACCTGTGGAGGATGAAGACCGGGGATTGGGCGACAGCTTGCCGAACACAACCAGCTCTTCCCAAACCAGTCTGTCTGCTCTACCTCCTGCGGTCTACATGGAGGATTCGCCTCGATCGAGTCCCCCGGCCCCGAGGCAGACGGAGAGAGATACAGAGTCATGGGCGAAGGTTAGCAACAATGGGATCTTTTCAGATCAATCACAGATTTTACACAGTTAAATACCATGAAACGACAAGATAGTGCCTTCAAATGTGTGAAAAGATCCTTGTTTGCAAGGACTGCTGAATGGTCCTGTTAACTAAATTCACAACTTTGCCAAACCTTCTTTCTTTTATAGGATGATGGTCCTCCCAGAAAACTTGTTCCTGTACTTGGTAAGATATTACTCCCTCAGTTACAGTATTTGGAGAATACTGTTGATTTAAAAAAAATAAATGAACTTGACCATCAGTACAACATAACAACATAACTGTTCTTGGTTTATATTGAGTATATGTGACTTTATTGGTTCAGTGACTGGGTCAGATGGTAATTCAGACATGAATGATTTAGTGAGTGAGTTCACTTGATTTGTTTGTGAGTTAAGACACAATAGAAAAAAAAGTATATTATTCTGAAGAATGCAAATGTTCAAGAACCATTAGATAGAAAAATAAGATGCACAATAAGTAAGATACACTTTCAAATAAGAGAAGATTCACTTCCATTCAAACGTTTTGGGTCAGTACGATTTTTTGTGTGTGAAATATTACAATTTAAAATAGCTATTTTCTATTTGAATACATTTTAAAACTTAATTTATTCCTGTGATGACCAAGCTTTTCAGAAGCCATTACTCCAGTGTTTTCCTATTATTGTCATTTCTTCTTATTGTCACTGTTGAAAACAGTATTTATTCGAAATAGAAATATTTTGTAACGTTATAAATGTATTTACTGTGACTTGATTGATTTGCTGTATCCTTAGTGAATAAAAAAGAAATCTTTAAAAAAAGTTATTGCCCCAAAACTTTTGAAAGGTAGTGTTTTAATAAAAATTAAATCTAAACCTATTCCTGTTCAAGTATTGAATTATTCCTAACCACAATTATAAGTACACAACATACACTATTTATCATTATAATTGGCTCATTTCAAGTTCATATTCCAGAAATTGGCCATTAGACAAGTTCTGAAGTCTCGATGCTTTGGTTTAATAGGTGAGGAGGAGTCTCTGAGCAAGAGTTTCGACCTGTTTGACACCCTGGACGTGCGGTACCACAACAAGTTCTTCCGGAGCATCGGCGTGAGCGACAACGCCATCAAGGTGGCCGAAACACAGCATACCATTGACAAAGTCTACGACCTACTGCGGGTGTGGATGCAGAAAGAGGGCCTGCGGGCAAACATTAACACGTTACTGCAAGCTCTTCTGGACCTGGACCAGCGGTATTCAGCAGAATACATCGCCTCCAAGGCTGTTGAACGAGGCTACTACAAATATGAATGATGCCTTTTCAAGACTACAAGACAGTTGTTGAGTAAAAGAACAAAATAATTGAGAGGTGTAGATTCCTTTTGAATTCTCTCCAATGGGCCTGTGGGTCTCATTGAATGAACTTGATCTCCCGTCACGGAGAAATTGGTGAATCGCCTCTATGTAGCGCCCAGCCCACGGTGGTTTTAGAAGCCAACACTGGACCCTTTTTTAGGGATTTACACTGGCTAGCAGTAGAGGGCGCTGTGTTCCCTCTAAACTATGCATTCTAGTGTTACTTGATGCACTGGCCTCAGTGCATTGTCGATGAACTCAACTCAGTTACAAATGAACAAAAATATGCCTTAAGACGAGCTGTGGGTTTTGAATTTCAGATGTACCGTTATGTCAGCAGTTTAGGGTTACATTTGCTGTTTAGAACATTCATTTTACTTTGGTTGTTACAGAATATCTCGTATGCTAGGCTGCCCTCGAATTATGCCAGTCTGTGAAAGGTGATTTCTGTCCCTCCATGCCTCCCTCCATCTGTTTGGTGCAAGGCTGAGATGTGTTATTCACCTTCAACACCTTTCTTGCCTGTTCCGTTGTTATATTTAAATAAGTAATGTATTTATTTGTATTGTGTAATAACGTATTATTTATACCTGTTACCAATATTCACCTACAGTAAGTGTTCCTGGAGCATTTTTGTGCCGTGACTGAGATGTTCACAAGACAAATCCTTTCCGGTTCTTTTCACAAGCGGATTTAGTGCCATATCCCCGTAGTTATTTCTATAGCTAAGACATTTCTACGTTAACCCTGAGCATGTCTATAGACTCGTCATCGTTGTTTGAATCAGAAAAAGCGTCCTTCGTTGTGGACATGTTGTTGATGTGTATGATAAAAGATAAAGAAAAAGCTTGAAAGAGTACCACGGTCAGTATCTCTTGGGCGCTTGTAACTGCTTCCGCAGGTTGCATTAATGTCAAGGATAAGGAGGCATTTCAAACTTCTGCTCGCTGTTCTTTGATTTTTTTTTTCATGCGGTAGTGCACAGGTACGTGTTTTTAAAATAGCTAAAAGATGAAGGAAATTTATGCTCATCCAGAAACTACTAGCGTTTTATCTATGTACATAGTTGTCAAGAATTCTATTAAACGAAACTAATAGATATATATTTATGGAAGCCCTAAGAGTGCAGCGTAATGAACTACTGCCTAAAAACCAAACCGAAGGAACAAATTGAAATTAAATTGAACAAACGGAATAGATGTTATCTAAATAAACAGGGCTTCTAAATTAATTTACGCAGCAGTAAATGAACTGTGACGTCTGACTCGGCTATATAGCTATGTAGATGTATCGGTGTATGAAATAGGATGGATATATTTTCAGAACACAGGTCTCGGATCAGCATCACCTCTGAACAGATTTGTTTGAGTTTATGGAAAGCTGAAATCAGATCCGGACAAAATGGCTCCACATCCCATTGAGCTTCCCCGTTTAATTTTGAAATTGTAGAGCTGTCGTACAGTGCAGGCACTGCCACCTATTGACGTAGAGTTGAATAGCAAGAGAAAAAACCTGCATCAATTTCAAGGGACCCTTTTTTCACATCTTAACAGTTTTTTTTCCTCACATCTTTTATCTTTTTGCACTGAATTTCAACATTGAGTGTCTCTTCAGATGTAGGTGCAGGAGTTCGAGCAGCTCGGTTTTTCTGTGTTTTCTGAGGTTTTTATACACGTTTCTAGTTTTATATTGAAGCTACATTGTTTCTGCCTTGACGCCTCTAACACACATGCCTCAGTGCTCGCTCTTTCTACACTTTATTTTCCACAATATCTCTCTACGAGTAGAAGTTTTGTATCTGCTTTTTTTCCCCCTTAGACAATTGTTTGCTCGTTTATGAATGTCAAATGTTTGCTGTTGCAAAGTTGTTTGTAGAATGTTTTTGTTTTAAAATAATAATAAATAAAAAAAAATACCAAAAAGTTTCCATGGCAAGTTCATCCATCAGAAGTTCAAGAAAGAAACGTTAATTGAATTTTTATTAATTTGTTTTAAAATGTGGTGTTTTACTTTTTTTTTTTTTTAGGTTTTTTTTTTTTTATTTAAGTCTTAATTGTATGGCTAATTCTGCCTTAAATATGAATTATAGTCAAAAATTAGTATTATTATTGATGATAATATTATTACACAAAAGAATTGAAAGTGGGGCGAAATCACATTATGAAATAAATGTTTTTCTCCAAAACACGTTGGGAACAATTATTTGCCCCCTTTTATCAAACACTTTTTGCAACCTCCTTTTTCCAAGATACCAGCTCTGAGTCTTCTCCTATAATACCTGATGAGTTTGGAGAACACCTGACAAGAGATCAGAGACCATTCCTCCATACAGAATCTCTTCAGATTCCCAGATCCATGTTGGCGCTTCAGCTTCTTCTCTTCAGTTCAGCCCACTCATTTTCTATAGGGTTCAGGTCAGGGACTGGGATGGCCATTGCAGATGCTTGGTTTTGTGCTCAGTGATTTTGATGTTTGTTTTTGGATCACTGTCCTGTTGGAAGATCCAAACATGGCCCGTTATAAGATTTCTAGCACAGGCTGTCAGGTTTTGATTTTTTTATCTGTTGGGATTTGATCGAATCCATGATGCCATGTATCTGAAAAAGATGTCCAGGACCTCTAGCAGAAAATTAGGCCCACAGCATTAAAGATACAGCAGAGTATTTCATTTTACACATGGGGTACTTTTTTATCCCTGTGTGCACCAAACCCATCTTAAGTGTTTGCTGCCAAAAAGCTATTTTTTTTTCATCTGTGAAAATCATTCTAAATTGTAAAAATGCTGAATATTTTCTGCAGGGGATCGAATATAAAGTTTATACAGTATAAATGTCCCCATAAAACTGGGTGTGCCTTTTATAAATAGTGGTGCCTTACAATATTTTTATTACACTATTTACTCTATTTTTATAGTGGTCCTTTCAAATCTTCTTGGTCATGTGGCGTCATCTAACTGACACTTTTGACCATGCGTCAACATGCCGACGCACATGGTACCCCTTAAGCGTCAATATGAGACGCTCATCCTCGGGCGTCATCTAACTGATGCTTTTGACCATGCGTCTAAATCCGACGCACCCTTTAGCTTCAGTTAGATGACGCTTCCGTTATGGGTAGGTTTAGGTCTGGGGGGTAGGGTTAGGGTTAGACCACTAGGAGGCGCGTCTCATATTGACGGTTAAGGGGTACCGTGCGTCGGCATGTTGACGCATGGTCAAAAGCGTCAGTTAGATGACGCCTTGGGATGAGAATGGGCTGGTCAAACATATTCCAATCAATGAAACACAATTTTATGACTTATGACCACCGGAGCCAGTGATGCACGACCTGTCAGACGGTCCTCAAACAGAACGGCTTAGCAAGCATTCAGCACACCATAAACTCAAGAACAGGTAAGGGCTCTACTTTATCCCTAGCAAATATTCACAGCTGCAGAGACACCCTTTCCTTACTATTGAAATTGCCACGAAGTAGGACACAGGCCCCACAGACACTCTCTTATCTAAGAATGCTGAGCACAGGCAGGATTCAGGGTGACACCTGACAGAGCAGGAAAGAGCTAAGCACAGCAAGCAGAGATTAAAAAAAGAGCCGTATTCCATTTTTAAAACATAATTTAACATTGTTTTGTAGAATGTGTTCAGACAAAATACACAATATGTTAAAAAATAACATACAAAAATATCACCTTACACAATAACAGCAACTTCAGATTTGCATAAAAAATCCCTAATTTCTAGATAATTTAGTAACAGCTGCCATTTTATTTGTATTTAAAATAATTGTATTATTATTATTTACTCTGAAATTATCTGACAATATGGAGTTTAGTGCCACGTAATGTTTCATAAAAGAGAATGCCAGGCAGAGACCTTTTGAAACATATCAAAATAAAAGTCAATGATTACAAAGTCAATGAATGTAATATAATCAAAATCACTAAATCATCTAGGCTACTTTTATGATTAGCACAATAGAAAAATACACAAATACTTTTAAAATATGATCTTTTGATAAAATAACGAATAAAACCATTTAAATGATGTTGATGAGGTATCAGGGTGCCAAACGTGTGTGTTCTGGCAAGCAAGTGGTATCGATCTCCAAGTTGTCCCCAAGCTAACTCTAACTGCATGTTATAAATCCACATGGTTAGTCATTATGGAGGGTGTGTTATCCACACTCAGCTGTGCACCTCCAACCGGCTCTTCAGGGTCCTGCTGTCTCTAATAACCTTCAGTAGACTTCGGGCCATCCATGGAGACAGAAACCACATTCCCCGAGGCAAGAGGCTGCACACACTCCTAGATACCAGACATAAAAGCACAACAAAGAAAATCATCAAATAATCTTATGTGCTGCTCTCCACAAACTGACATTAAAAGACATTATTCTGCAAATAATCCAGTCCAGCAAGAAAAGAATTACCATAGTCTAGGAAAGATGCACAAATAAACGATCTTCTCAGAGTGAACCGAAACTAATGACGTACTGTAGCTGTTCTTCAGAAGCTCAAAAACTGGAAGCACTTCAAAAACATCTCAATTTGTTTTATTGGTGACTCGCTCCCACCTTTATCGTGGAGTATTAACCGAGCTCCAAATGCAAAAACATCCTTCAAAGGTCTGAAAACTGGGACCTGCAGGTGGTTGAATCCACATCATTAGCTGTGGGAGAAATTTCGAGAGCAAAAAGACTATAGTTGTGAATTTGAGATGGTTTAAAACTCTTGAAGTCAGCGAGTTCACTTTCCCAGTATCGCTGTGAGAGGCTGGTCAGAACTAGACGTGCTGTCTGTGTGTGGAGGGTCAATGATGCTAAGTATCATGGTACTGGAGGTCTTTTTGGATCTGATGGCACTAAGAAGATTCATGGGGGGAAACATGTTAGACGCAGGCCTCTCTGGTTCAGCTTCCCATGCTGGTTTACTCCATGACCTGATCTCTCTTTGTCTAGATGTCGTCTCCAGGACCCGTCTGGGTTCGACTGACTCCACTGTTGATATGCCCACTCGTTTGTGACTCGTCCAGGACCAACAGGAACACTTGCTCCAGCAGCAACCTCTTCCGCCGGAGCTCCATCCTCGGGTGAGCAGAGCCAGCAGGTCCCTCTTGAAGGTGGTGTTGAGGGCGGCATAAACCAACGGGTTACACACCGAGTTGCTGAATCCCAGGATCTGAACCACACTGACCAGGAGAAACTCAGAGTCAAGATCAAGGTCCAGCTGACCTGTGTTTCGAGAACAGACATGCAAGGTAAGTTATAAAACTGTAAGCCAATTTACCCACAAATCATAATTTCATAAAATATTTCAGGGTTGACTTTTAGGGGTTTGACTTGTTTGTGTTTAAAAACACGAGACGAGGGGTAGTGGAATGAAAAAAAATATTTTTAGATTTCTGTCGAGCGAGACCGGAAAATATGAGCGTCACAGACAAAAAAAAACATATGGAAAAATATGTTTAGTATGAACTAAATTGTTAGTTGTAATCATCACAATTGCGAGTGTGATATAACAGTTCAAAAATATAACTTATATTTTTGGCAAAATTGGCAGTTAAGGCCCAATGACACCAAAAGCAATCACTATAAAGATAACTATATAGCATTCACACCAACGCATGATAAAGTTCTGTTTATTATAAGCGCACACCGCAGATGTATCTTCTGTCGATTTAAATGGTCACTTGTTAAAGTTGGGTTGATTCTGATTGGCTGTCAATGTTCTTATTGTTCATCAGCTAGAAAAAAATTGTTCTAAAAATGATTCCAATGTTATCCTTCCTCTGTGTCGTTATCGTTTTAGTTGTGGTATGAACTTCCCTATTCTCATAGAATTAGAATGATTATTAATACTTTATAGTTATAGTTATCGTCCTTGATGTGCACAGCCCTTCACCTTGTGTATTTTTGCACTGCCAATGTACATAGTTCCAAACAAAGCCACAGTAGAACACTGCAAGTCCCCAAGCAGCACAGTGGTGTTTCTTTCTTCAATGTTTTGAACAAATAAGTTATATGATTCATTTCGTCCGCCATTTTTAAATTCTGTTTAGATTAAGTAAATGACTCAATGACTAAAATACACTTGTTGTTTATGAATCATGATTCAGTGCTCACTGTATGTCTGGATGATTGGACGACCAATCAATGAATAATATAATATAATATAATATAATATAATATAATATAATATGTTTGAGGTTTTTTAGAACAAGCCTTTTTTGCAGCTTAATTTAAATATGTTGTACTTTCTTTACACTAGGAATGATATTTTGTTCTCAAATTTAAATTATAAGTACCTATAAAATCTCAAGAAAGCAAGGAAAAAATATGATTCCTCATAAGACCTCTTTAAGAAAGTGCAAACATGAAGGGGGAAAAAACTATTCAAATTTAGTTTTACAGTTAGGCCTACATGAGATTTCATTTGTGGATTCATATCTGAGGTTTAGTTAAAGGGATAAAAATTCTGTCATCATTACTTATCCTCTAGTTGTTCCAAACCTGTGTATATTTCTTTGTTCCGCTGAACACTTTGGGGCAGCATTGACTTCCATAGTAGGAAAAAAAAATACTATGGACGTCAATGATGCCCCAGAACTGATCAGTTTCCCACATTCTTCATAATACCTTCCTTTGTGTTCAATGGAACAAAGAAATGTATACAGGTTTGGAACAACCTACGGGTGAGTAAATGATGACAGAATGTTCATTTTTGGGTGAACTATCCCTTTAAACGTTTATCACTGAAAAGTCCTTGTGGAAGATGTGGAGTCCTTCCACATCTTCCACTCCATTGTCATGTGCACAATATGGTTCTTTCCATGGTTCACGTGTTTCTGCAACAAAAGCACTTCAGACGATAATGGTAAGGATAATGGTTAATATATTAAACCAGGCAAGGACATTTATGTTTATACAAAAAGACTAAGGGGCTGTTTACAAGACATAGTTTTCAACTAAAAACGTAAAACTGTTTATGCGTTTTGGCCATTCATTTACACGACAACGGCGTTTTGGGGTGCCTGAAAACGCGAACTTTTGAAAACGGGTTTAAAAGTGCAAGTTTTTGAAAACGGTCTCTGTGTAAACCAAAAAAATGTGAATCTTTAAAAACGATGACATCATGCACATATTACGTGTTCAGTGTATAGTGTAACTGATTACTTTACTGATTACTGATACTGATTTTAATAAGCTTCTTCATAGAATAAATTAGGCACATACATTTTTTTTGTGCAATATGAAGCTGTTTTGTTGTCAGATGTTTGCAAAATAACAATCTTTGTATTAGAGTCACCACTAGCTACTGAACAAAACTCACAATAGTTGTCATAGTGCTAAGTGTGAGACAATGGATACAATTTCTTTTAAAATTGTATGCCGATGGTTCAGAGGAATGATCTGTTGACCCTCTGATGTTTTGAGGAGGAGGAGAGAGTAAAAGAAGGAGAGAATGTGAATGTTTTATGACAGGAAAGACAGCAGCTGGCTGATAGACAAAAGTGCAAAATTATCATTATTATTATTTTGCATTACCTGTGAGAGACCAAACAGGGGAAAAAAACAAGGAGATTGACAACAGTAAGCAGGAGGGAAGGGCACAAGAAATGTTGTGTTACCATAGTCAAGCAGGAGGGAGACCAGATGGAAAGGTGCCCAGCAGGAAGCAAAGAGCAGCACCACGGTGGCCATCATTCTTATTGCACGCTTCTTCCTCCTGAGAATGAAGAATGAAAGGCATTTCTATTGTTATAGACATGTCATTAAAAGCGCAATACAGGGGTGTCAATCAAACAGCATTTCATTTGTACCAGTCTGATCCATGATCCATCATCTGATCCAAGAGCAACAATCTAGACGCTATACAATACTTGAAATGAAAGCATCTGCTCAATGGGCCTCTAAAAAGCAACGTATAATTAAACGGAATACATATATAAGTGTGTATTGTTGTTTACTGGCAGCCCGGGGTTCTTCAACCTTTTTCAGGATCCTTGGTGAATAGAGATGGAGCAAGGACCCCCCCTGTTACTTAAGCTCAGCCTATAATATTGTATAGTATTACAATAGGTATTAATATTGTATAAAAGTATTAACATACTTTGTAATGATGCTTACATTGCAAAACCTTGAAAATAATCATTACAAAAGTGTGACATGTAACCCATACTTGGAATTTGTCCTCTGCATTTAACCCATTCCATTAGGAGAAGTGAGTACTGAACACAAACACACACTGCAAACCGTGGACACACACCCAGAGCAGTAAGCAGCCATTTTTGCCGTTGCGCCCGGAGAGCGATTGGGGGTTCGGTGCCTTGCTAAAAGGCACCTCAGTCGTTTCCTGCCGGTATTGAGGATTGAACCCACAACATTCGGGTTACAAGTCTGACTCTCTAACCATTAGACCACGACTGCCTTAAAAATAAAAGTTCACCCAAAAATCATTTACTTATGTCATTACAAACCTTTATTACTTTCTGTTATGTTTAGTTTTAGTTTCAGTTTCATTGTTTCTCATTATTTCCTGTGTGTCCCTTCAGTTGTCATGGTAGCTTGTTCAGTTGTTGTTTTAGAGACTCATTGTTTCATTGCTTTCTTCAACCTGTTCCTTGTTTAGATCATTAGTTCTCTGTGAATATTTTGTTCTCAGTTTAGTTTGTCTTTATTGGGTGTTGAATGTGCCTTAAAGCACACGGTTTCGTTCAGTCTTCGTTTTGGATTTCTCTCTTTTGTTTTTGTAACGTTGGGTTTTTTTTTCTGCCAATATATCCGCTGCGCTCACCCCTTCTTCCTCCTCAGCTCGAATGTTATACTTTCTTTATTATGTGGAGTATAACTGAAAATATATATTAGAGGTGGGCATAGATTATTTTTTTTTATCTAGATTAATCTAGATTAATATTGAAATTAATCTAGATTAATCTAGATTAAAATGGCTCATTTGAATTCTCCCGAAGGCATTCAGAATATGTGTGCTACCCAAATAATGACTAAAAGTAAGTCTTTGAGAATAGTTTGCCTCGCGTAGGGATGTGCATTTCTGCCAAAAATGCCATTCGACAATCGAGGAGCAAAAGTCGAATATGGTAAAAAAAAAAAAAAAACGCAATGACAGAAAGGGAGGCCAATTTCATCTTTAGCAATTTGTCATCAAACAAACTGTTTATTAATTGAACAAGTAACATGTTTTCGTCCTTTTTTTAACATAGTAGGCTAATTGGAAGAAGAAGGAAAAACAATACGCACGACAGTCCGTTTTTGCATCGCCAATGCTCGTTAGATCAAAAAATAATGTCATCATATGTCATAAGAATTTTATGTGAACCTGCCTTGTTACTGCAATAGCCTCATTTTTAAACAAATTAGTTTCAATCAATGTAAACTATTCGTGTGATTATGCCACTGCGCAATACACGCGCAATACACACACAATGTATTACCTGAATGAAATGAAATCGAATGTATCGTCCTGTGGAATCATTCATTCACAGACAGCTTACGAAGATGTTCAACTAATAAAGATCTTCATCGCTGGCAAAAATATGATGCATTTGCAGATTTGCATTCACTAGACTAGACTGTAGATCGGCCACTTCATCCAACGCTCTTGATGCTCTTAAGTCTGTTTCGACTCCGAGTGTGAATTGAAAGCGCTTTAGACGATTCAGTGCGCGAGGAACTGAACAGATCAACTGATTCGCGAACCGATTTAGACAGATCATCTGACAACTTGTTTGATGAAGTCTTTGAACAGAATCGACTCAAAAGAGTGATTCATTTGTAAATGAGCATCACTCATGCCCAAACAAAGGACACAGCGCGCTTGTAAACTCATTTAACAACTATTGCATTAAAATAAAGTAACGAGAGGAACGTCGCCCAACGTAACAAAGTAAAAGTACACCTTGTGTCCCTGACAGGAAAATACCCTACTGCGCGATCTGTGACAGTAGGCGCGGCGTCATACTACACATTAGAATTGCGCGAAAATATAACGATATTCGAAAAAGCTATTTATGATCCCAAACCAACTTTGATTAACGGCGATATTTTTTTTTATCGCCCGATAAGAGTCTCACGTTAACGCAGCACGTTAACGCCGATAACGGCCCAGCACTAATATATATATATATATATTTTTGGTCCATATAATGGAAGTCAGTCAATGGTCACCAAAATGGTTTGGTTACTCACATTCTTTAAAATAACTTGTTTTGTGTTCAGAAGAAAGAAAGTCATACCGTTTTGGAATAACATGAGGGTGTATAAAAGATGACAGAATTAAAATGTTAACTATCCCGCTAATTGTCACAGGTTGTTTAGCACAGACAATGAAGATGAGATTCAAAAGTCTTTAATGAATAATCCATGTGACAGGCAACGTAACAACTTATCCAAAGCTGAGACCGGACAGACTCAAATGAAACAGGGAGACTATACAGGGAATAAACAAAGGGAACTAATTTGGCAACAGATGAACAATTTGTTATAAAAATAACTAAATAATCAGAAATATCTTAATTTTTTGGTTGTTTTGTCTTATTTGAGGCCCCCTGGGTGAGGACCTCTGGTATAAGCTGTATAACTGTTGAGTTTCTTTTCTGCACCTTTTCTCAATCACATACACATGTACACGTTTTACTTTAGCCTGTATTTTTGTCCATTTCTGGGTGTTCTTGCTTATCAATAAACATTCACTTTTTGATTACTGTTACCTTTGTTTTTCCTAGTAATTCTGTGTGTGATTTTAATTTCCAACCCATTTTGGATTCATTTTAACCCAGCGGTATCATCATTTAAAAAAATTAGTTGAGTTAAATAAAAAAAGCCCAGCATGTTGGGTCAAACATTTAACCCAAAAACAACTCAGTGCTGAGTCTGTCCCTTTTTGATCAAGTGCCGTGTTGCCAAAATGAGCCAAATTGTGTTGTTTTTAACCAAGCACTTTTGGAGTGCTCTCTTGAAGACTAACCTGGTAATCTTGTTGATTTCAGATCCCGGAAGTGTTTGAAACATAACGTCATGTACTTTGTGTTTGCCCCAGAGCTCTCGCATGATTTTCCAGTACAGGATGGCCATGGTCGCCAAGGGGACCAGGAACACCAGCACGGACAGGCAGGTAGTGTAGGCTCTCCTCTGCCGCTGGCTTGGCCAGACTTCCAAACAACAGGTGTAGTGGACATCAAACAGGAAGTCATATTTCACCTGGATAGAGGAAATTCATTACGTGACCCCTTCATTCTTCTATCATGTTTCTAAAAAAAAAAGTCTGACGGATAGGAGGAAAGGCTAGAGGCAGCTAATATATGAATATAAGGGTCTGATTTACAGACTGACAGGCATTTCTAATGGGTAAAGAGAGCTTTTGATCCTTCTCATGAAGTTTATCTGCTGACTTAAACAGCGTGACATCAATGACCATTTGATTGGAGTGATTCATGCAAGACGTCTTTGAAGAAAAAAGAGCTAATAGATAACGTGAAAGCTGCACACGCAAGGACAATAAACATAAAGCAAAGACGCAATATGTGGAAGGCATTACTATCTCAATGAAAACATATGAACATTGCATTTGAAGCCCTCAATGGTCTCTTCTAGGCTAGCACAGCAAGCATCTAATTTGAACCTAAGTGTTGATGCATCTGTTATTTCTAGCGGCCGCTGCCGTGCATGAGAATTACTGAGTCAAATGGCTAGATTTGTTCTGATCATATTTATACTATCAGCAGCTTTTTTTACTATTTCTTTCATGTCATCTTTTGGTTTAATAATTACAAACCATTTCATAAATTCAATGAAAACTAGAACAATTGTTTCTTCCCTCTGATAGATTCAGCTGAGTCTACTATTTAAGATGAATACTGATGTCTCTGTCCCAGTTCACTGTGTTCCTTGTCTCTGATTGTTAATGACTTGAGTTTTGTCTGTGACATAATGTCCAGCAGCGAAGTGTGAGCAAACTCTAAATGGCCTATTTACTCTACAAACAGTGGTCTGTAGTGGTGATTAAAGCGATTGTTCTGGAAATGACATGTGAATGTAGTATTTTTTTTTAAGGTTGGACGTTTACCTCCACTTTCTGGACAAACCACATGGGAGCCGCGATTGCCAGGGCAACCAACCACACGGCCACTGTAATATGAGGGAAAAGACATAATATTTGTTGTTTTCTAGAATTTTAAATGTCAGTATTGTCTAGTTCAAGGTTTTCAAACTGAGGTCAGGAAACCGCAAGAGGTCCGCAAACTAAATTTGAAAATATTATTTTTCAGTCTGCTTTGTAAAAAACGGGTCAGAAATTGTGAAATTAATTGTGATTTTTTTTTCTATTGACAGGACTTGTTTTTAACAGAAAGAAAATCTTGGGGGAAAAATGCTAATATTTTGTAGGACATAATATTTTTAGTATATTATAGTAAATTATTGTGAATTATTCTACTTTGTTGTCTTTATACATATAAAAATGGGTATATTATTTTTATTACATTATATTATGTGAAACAAAAACACATTTCTTTCACACAGTGTAAACAGGTGTTTATACATTAAAATGTATATTGTATATTTTTTAACCCTTAAAAGCATACCTCGTGTCTTTAGTGACCCGGGACGTCATTTTAAAAAAAAATTAGTCATCAACCTTCTTAGTATTTCTAAATCAATTCATTATAAACAATATAACAAGAAAAAGAAAAAATACAAAAGAATGCCTATTTTCCCATGAATTATTTGTAAAGAAAAATGTATACGGTCGCTAATGACCCAAGGTTTGTAACAGTGTAAGTATATTTTTTTTACAACAATCATTGAATATTTGATGACTGAATAAGTGCAATTCACCTTTATTCCATAAGGTGGCAATGTCTGATACACAATGTTGATATGACCAGATGCTGAATGTACTGGGAAATGAGCTCTGATGAGGACAGTGATGATGGTATAAAACATCTGCTCAAACTGAACACTTCTAAGCTCCAAAAGGTAACAAAATATGCTTTATTTTATCCTTCTGTAATTGTTACTCTAATATCAGGAGAGTTTTATAGTATCGCGACAGGTAGAGATCCATCCGTGTTAGATATATATCCGGGTCGCTAAAGACCCGAATATGTAATAATGATTGGCGAAACATTCATCCATTTAAGGGTTAAGAGGACCCCATCCTTTATGCAAAGTTCTCTCGTGAAACTCTAGATGGCGCAGGCTGATAGATACTTAACTTAACCTGCTTGCAATCACATCGTTATCTATAGGGCAAAGCTTATTGGTTACTGCTGTTTCAGTAGCCAATGAGATTGCGTGCTCAACCTTCAAATACTTGGATAGCATTAGCCTTAGCAGTGCAGCGTAGAGTGTTTTCAGAAACCCTCCATCTTCCCCAGCTCCACCTGTATAGATCTGCTACAGGTAATTCATGTACGCTATGTTGTACAGCAGCAGCATGTCTTACTTGCTCAGAGCAGCGTGTCGTGTATGTATTGGCAGTAGGAAGTAAATAAAAGCCTAAATTCAATCTGTTCATCATTTAAACATTCAAGTCTTTTCAGAAAATTTTGACTAAACCGCTCAATTCATATGGATTAGTTTTACGATCTCTTTATGAACTTTTTGGAGCGTCAACATTCCAGTTGTGTAGCTATCTATGGAGGGACAGAAATCTCTCTGATTTCATCAAAATTATCTTCATTTGTGTTCCGCAGATGAACGAAAGTCTTACATGTTTGGAATGACATGGGGGTGAGTAATTAATATAATTTTCATTTTTGGGTGAACTACCTTTTAAATGCATTAACAAATTTAAAGTCTGGCTGCTAATGTAAGTGTTGATAGGGCTTGGGCGCCGCGTTGCATTCTGGGACGTGGCCGCCATGTTGACAGCTTCGCGAATGTAAACATACAGCAAGTCGAACGAGGAGAAGCAGCAGAGTTGGGAGAAAGAAAAGAAAAAAAGATGTTAAAATCCCTAAAAGGATGTGGAATTTACCGGGATACGTTAAATCGGGAAGCCAGGGACCGGTATGTGGACAAAATCGGCACTTTTAACGGTTTGGATCCATATGAAATTTCCAACAAACAGTGGGAGCACAGTAACTTAATCTGGACAAAGGTAAACTGCGCTCCACCTAGCTGCTAGTTTAGTAACAGTTAGTGCTAACAACCATTCACACATGTAACGTACTTTTAACTATGTGTTTCAAAAGTGTAGTTAGTAGCTGTTTTAAGCAAAACTTAAGTTAGTAAGCAAAACGATGCTTAGGGCAAGGGGGTAGCAACCGGACAACAGTACAGAGACTGACGGGTCCGATGGAAGGGCTAACGTTAATGTTATGAGAGTATTAAAATACGGGATATTTTACAGGAAAATACTAAAACGGGAAGACAGCAGGAAAAGAGCTCAAATACGTGAGAAACCCGGAAAAAACGTGAGGGTTGACAGCTAACGTTACTAACTACAGTTTTGAAACACATAGTTAAAAGTACATGTGTGAATGGTTGTTAGCAGTAACGGTTACTAAACTAGCAGCTAGGTGGAGCGCATCTTAAAGTTACCTTTGTCCGGATTACTGTGTTCCCACTGTTTGCCGACTCTTTGTTGGAAATTTCACATGGATCCAAACCGTTAAAAGTGCCGATTTTGTCCACATACCGGTCCCTGGTTTCTCTATTTAACGTATCCCGGTAAATTCCACATCCTTTTAGGGATTTTAACATCTTTTTTTCTTTTCTTTCTCCCAACTTTGCTGCTTCTCCTCGTTCGACTTGCTGTATGTTTACATTCGCGAAGCTGTCAACATGGCGGCCACGCCAAGTAATGACGTCACGACGCCCAAGCCCTATAACCACTCAGCAAAATTCTTTAATCTCTCTCTCTACATAACTCACCCAGCATCTTGAAGGCATGACAGAGAAAGTAGCTGTTGCGGACATGAAGAGGATAAAGGATTCCCTGGAAACGCTCTACAGCAATACACGTCATGGTGAGCATGCTGGTCGCAATAGCTGTAACTTGTAGGAATGGTATTAGCTTGCAGAGAAAATCTCCTGTGGATGAAAAAAATAATTAGGAACAGCAAATGAATCAGTGAGACAGAAAATGAGTGAGAGAACAGGCTAATGAACTGAATAATTCCAGATGTACATGGCAGATAGGGTTAACTGTTGATACTTAACAATATATGGCATATAGGATACTGAGACTTTCAGAGCATTGCTAACTAACAGAAGGAAATGTGTGGGCAGTAAATGTATGGTCTTTATGGACAATGATGAGGACAGAAGGCTAGAGCACAGGACCACATGCACATGCACATCCACAACACAATGTTCCACATAATTATATCACAGATTGGGTTTGTGTTGCCATGGATTTGTGGAGCAATCTTCTCTCAGAAGTCACGAGGAGCTTTCTATAACCCTTATTTTCCAGCTCACTGATCCTCAAAAATTCCAAATGAAATCTAGAATAATATATCTGCTGCATGCTGATCATGATGTCCTTCATTATACCATGCCATTAGATGAAAGGTCAATGACCCTTGCGAAAGACAGAAACTAAAACATAACATGACGCATGCTAATGGAATATGCAATGCAAACTGCAAACTATGCCTGATTTGTAGAGTAAAGCAAATGGCAGCCATAGCTTGTTGTCTTACTGATAATTGAGGTTATATTTACTTAATATTTGTTTTGGTTTATGTCAAGTGTTCAAATGTTGGCTGGTTATCATGGTCCAGTTAGGCCCTGATTGCAGATATTGTCCCTACTAGCCTAGAAATTCTAGACGCACCCTAGCGGCAGCGAAAATTATTTTGCAGCCAGTGTGGTCTAGCAACTCTCCATAGGCTTTTGAGCTGGAAAAACCAAAAACTGGTCAGGCCAATCACATCGTGTATAGAGTCGGCGGGCGGGCTTAACACAATGACGGCACAGTTCATGACGTTCCGCGTGATTTCCATTGGGGATTTCCCTGCTACTTGAAAACAATGAAGATGCAGCGGTCTTTCGAATCGGCTTTGGCCGCGACTCTGGAGGACTTGGAGTTAAGAGAACGTCACTTCATCCTCCCGTCGCGCCGACAACTGGTGCCATCATCGGCAGTGCGTGCCCACCGTGCGAGCATCCATTCCGGCTGTAGAGTTGAGTGTGGCGACGGCAGCTTTCCCGCGAGTGGGCGTGGTTTCAGCGCAGCCAGTGGACACGCCCCCAGCGTTTGAGAGCAGTATTTTTTCAAGATTTTGATAGCTTATTTTATGTACTTGCTGGCTTTTTTTATCATTCAAATTTGGCTGGGTGACTAATAACAAATTTTTCTGTGGTGTGACAAACTCAAAACACATACTTAATTTTGACTTTACAGGGACTTTAAGTCATTCTTAAAAAAGGAAGATGTGTTCGGATTTTTGCCGTCCTGATACGGCAAAAGTTTAATATATCAATTAGCTCCACTGGTGGAAAAACGCATGGGACTCACTCATCCACAACCGTTCGTTGCTCTGGTTGGTTGTAGCGTTATCCTATTGCGTGCAGAGGGATTTTGAAAGGTAACCGTTTATCCCGCCCCTCGGATTGAGGCATGTCAATGGAGAGTTCCCAGACCTAACATCCTGATGTAGGTCTGGCATGCCAGGCTATGTCCCTACACCATCTGGCTGCAAAAAGCCAATTTTTTCCATTGACGGCCAATCAAAGGTAGCCATGTATTATGGTGAAATAATGTCCAGAACTAGGGCTGGGCGATATGACCAAAATCTCATATCACGATAGAAGTCATCTCATATCCCGATTACGATATATATCACGATATACTGTAAAACTTCAAATAATAGCCCGGGCTTTTATTTTCCCAAATCGCCGAACTGCACCGGCTTGTATTTGAGGCAGGCGTCTATGAGACAGGCCTTTCATTTAGTGTAGGCCTAGAGATAACGAAGATTACGTTTTATTTATAAATGTGTTTAACAAATCCGTTAATCTAAGAATTAGCCTAGGCTACTTTATTATGTCTAAAGGGGGTCGCTCACCGGACGAGAAGCGCGCGCGCCGTGTCTATAGCAACTCGAGGTATCGCACACACACCGGACGCGCGCTGTCAGTTTATGGCCAGCAAATTGTTATTTTTAAGGACATTATGGAATTCAGATCATGTTTGTACTATGTAATGATAGTACTGTACAATTAAATACAATCGTTGCTTAGTCTGCAGTCTGAACACTTTACCTCAGAGCGTCCGTTAACTGAATGAATTGGGAATATCACCTGAAAATCCGATAATAACAGCATCAATTTGAATTCAACCAGCTGATTTCTGTAAATGAATGTACAACTAAATGTATGTTGCAGCACAGGGTGAAGTCAGTATATAACGATAATTGTACATTTAATATAACCATAGCTTTTAGATTATTGGCAGAATTAAAAAAAACGAAACGATGTGACAGCCATGGGCTGAACAATACATTACTGGTAATATCCATCGAGCCTATGAACTTGTTGCCCGAAACACATCAACAAGAAAGAATGAAGGCTATACCCTGTAAAACGATCTCCTTCTCTCTCCGGCCTCCGCTAACTCTGCTTGCGCTAACAACTCCGCCCAGATGCGCGCAATCTGCACCACAGAACTGGTTTAAACAGACGATCTGACGGGTTTTAGAAGATTAAATACAAACCGAAACTAAAAAACAGACCAGGCCTCTATTTGAGACTGGCGTTTATTTATCCAAACCACCCTAAAATGGTCAATACAACAAATAGAAAGTTAACCAAACCATCTAGCCCCTCGTTTAGGAACGAGCTCCTCGGTTTGTTCTGGCTGGTTCTTCTCCTGCTCGGAAACACCCGGTTCTGTCACCCCTTCATTCATGCTGTTATTCACGTTTCTGCCTGCATCCCCATGGTGGCGTGAAAGATTGCAGTCATCCAAATTTTTGCCGTAAACAATGTTTTTTTGCGACACCACGATATAAACGATATGGCATAATATGAAACGATAGGCTTTTTATATCGTCCATCCGATATATATCGTCATATCGCACAGCCCTATCCAGAACTGTACAAACCAAAAAAAACTTCTTTGTTTTAATGCATCAAATATTAGATTTTACATAAAAAAATATATACACTCACCGGCCACTTTATTAGGTACCCCATGCTAGTAACGGGTTGGACCCCCTTTTGCCTTCAGAACTGCCTCAATTCTTCGTGGCATAGATTCAACAAGGTGCTGGAAGCATTCCTCAGGGAGTTTGGTCCATATTGACATGATGGCATCACACAGTTGCCGCAGATTTGTCGGCTGCACATCCATGATGCGAATCTCCCGTTCCACCACATCCCAAAGATGCTCTATTGGGTTGAGATCTGGTGACTGTGGAGGCCATTTTAGTACAGTGAACTCATTGTCATGTTCAAGAAACCAATTTGAAATGATTAGAGCTTTGTGACATGGTGGAAGTAGCCATCAGAGGATGGGTACATGGTGGCCATAAAGGGATGGACATGGTCAGAAACAATGCTCAGGTAGGCCGTGGCATTTAAACGATGCCCAATTGGCACTAAGGGGCCTAAAGTGTGCCAGGAAAACATCCCCCACACCATTACACCACCACCACCAGCCTGCACAGTGGTAACAAGGCATGATGGTTCCATGTTCTCATTCTGTTTACGCCAAATTCTGACTCTAACATCTGAATGTCTCAACAGAAATCGAGACTCATCAGACCAGGCAACATTTTTCCAGTCTTCAACTGTTCAATTTTGGTGAGCTCTTGCAAATTGTAGCCTCTTTTTCCTATTTGTAGGGGAGATGAGTGGTACCCGGTGGAGTCTTCTGCTGTTGTAGCCCATCCGCCTCAAGGTTGTGCGTGTTGTGGCTTCACAAATGCTTTGCTGCATACCTCGGTTGTAACGAGTGGTTATTTCAGTCACTGTTGCCCTTCTATCAGCTCGAACCAGTCTGGCCATTCTCCTCTGACCTCTGGCATCAACAAGGCATTTCCGCCCACAGAACTGCCGCTCACTGGATGTTTTTTCTTTTTCGGACCATTCTCTGTAAACCCTAGAGATGGTTGTGCGTGAAAATCCCAGTAGATTAGCAGTTTCTGAAATACTCAGACCAGCCCTTCTGGCACCAACAATCATGCCACGTTCAAAGTCACTCAAATCAACTTTCTTCCCCATACTGATGCTCGGTTTGAACTGCAGGAGATTGTCTTGACCATGTCTACATGCCTAAATGCACTGAGTTGCCGCCATGTGATTGGCTGCTTAGAAATTAAGTGTTAACGAGCAGTTGGACAGGTGTACCTAATAAAGTGGCCGGTGAGTGTATATAAAGATGTATATCTATGCATTATATCCCATTGGGATCAGTAAGTTGTTGTTTTTTTTTAAAGAAAGATTATACTTTTATTCAGAAAGGGCACATTAGATTGATCAAAACTGACAGTAAATACTTTTACATTGCTATAAAAAAATAAAAGAATAAATGCTGTTCTTTTGAGTTTTCTATTAATCAAAGAATCCTGCTGAATCAGTGTTTTCAACTGATATTATTAAGAAATGTTTCTTGTGCATCAAATCAGCATATTAGAATGATTTCTGAAGGATCATGTGACACTGAAGACTAAAGTAATGATGCTGAAAATGCTGCTTATCCATCACATACATAAATGCAACGCTATCTCACGACCAATTCGTCCGAATTTGACGAGTGATTAAAAAGATGGCTAATTCGTACGAATTCGTACGACCTCATTCGTACGATTTGTCTAAACCCACGTGATGGGTAGGTTTAGGGGCGGGGTCAGGGGTAGGTCATTCGTACGAATTCATACGAATTGGGCAACTCGTCAAATATGTACGTTTTAGCAAAAATCTTACTAATTCGTAGAGTGAGGTCGTACGAATTGTTACGAATTAGCCATCTTTTAATCACTCGTCAAATTCGGACGAATTGGTCGTGAGATCGGGTTGATAAATTACATTTTTAAAATATATTAAAATAGAAAGCTGTTGTTTTAGATTGTAATAATATTTCA